TGTACTGGTTGACCAACAACGCGCGCACGCCCCACGAGATCTGGTTGATCCAGTAGACCCAGATGAAGTAGTCGGGGATGTCGGACTTGACTAGGATGAACCCTGCAAAGAGGACAATGAAGAGCACGGACACAAGCGACAGCGGCTTGGCGACGTGGAGGTCGGGGGACGCCACCGCGACAAAGAAGAACCACGACGCAAACAGGATGTTGGTCAAGAGCAAGATCAATTCGTACACGACGAACGCGCCGACGTCGGCAACGAACCCGGAGATCCAGTAAATGATTGTACCAAACGTTAGCGCTTCCGCCACGCTGAATGGAATTTGCGTGATCGTTTGGGCCAGGACAAACGACAGCGTGCGGAAGAAGTGTGCGCCACGCTGCTTGCAAAAGATGTCGCGCGCTTCCAAGATGGCCGGCAGGAGCGCGACTTGGCCGAGCGCCAAGAACAGCAATGCTTGAAAGATCACGCCGTACATGACTTGGGCTAGCTGCGCGTCGACTTGGTAAAACGTTGTCGAGTACAGCAGCGCCATCACGACCACCATGAACGCTCGCGTCTTGACAAATGCCGTGTTTCGCATCATGACTTGCATCTGGCGCCGTACGAGTTGCATCGCACTCGGGCCAAACGGATTTTGCAAACGGATTTTGGAATGTAGGCACTGCCTTCATGTAGTGGTCCGCGTCATGCAACAACAGCGGGTGCACAGGGCCTTTGACGTGTTCCACCATGTTGCGGTAGATCGCGGACTGTTGGAACAAAGTCGAGAATTCCGAGGGGAAGCGCGGCACAACTCCCACCGCCATACGGCTCACGTAACGCGTCTGCTGGGGAGTGCCCAAATCGAGCAAAAAGTCGGCAACGTCGCGCTTGGGGGGCAGATGAACCCGAGCGATTCAAAGTAGGGCAGGGCTCGGTTGCACGGGCCATGGTACAAGATGTGGCCTTTGTTCATCACGACGACGTCGTCAAACAGGTCAAACTTCAGGAGACGGTTGCAAGAGCGCCATCACGATCGTCTTCTTGAGGCATTTTGCGACGCTACGCTGACTCTGATGTCGTATGTGGCGGCGCTGTCCAGCCCGGTCGAGATTTCGTCCATGAGCGAGACTTGCTTCATCCCAAACTCCATTTCGCCAATCGTCACACGCTTCCGCTCGCCGCCGGACACGCCGCGCAACATGGTGTTGCGGACAATCGTGTCCTTGCACATGCTAAGGCCCAACTGACGCTCGACGACATCTGGGTACACATGGTACAGCGCCGTCAAGATCTGTGTCGCCTCAGCGTTTTCTTCGGGGGTGCCATGCTTTAACGAGTCCATCACACGCTCGGGAACTCGACCGCCACTGCATGCTTGAAGGGCAAAGGCCAACGTTTCCTGGACCGTCAGTGTCGGGTAATGGTTGTCGCGCTGGCCCATGTGCGAGGCGAATTGCGGCAGCTGGGACAACACTTCGGCGCGATCCGATCCGTTGTACAAAATTTCGCCGCCGAATGCAATGTTCTTCTCGATAGGAAAGCGGCCGGCCAGCATCTTCATGAGCGACGACTTGCCCGAGCTCGGTTGGCCGAGGAGGAGGGTCATGGTAGCGGGCTTGAACACCCCGCTTACCGAGTGCAGGATGTCTTTGCGCACGACGTGTTTGGATGACCTGGTCAAGCCCTTGACAGACTTCCTGGTATGGTTGAACAGAGTCGGAAGCTCGTTGTCTTTGGTCGCGACTGTGACTGCGGCGGCAAGCGACACGTTTCTGAATCGAATCTCGACTTGCGGCATCGCTTACCCGGTCGCGATTTCGAGGTAGTTGGCCAGCATCGCATGGAACTTCTCCGACCCGTCGGCCAAGAACCCGTCGGCGGACGGAGGGCTCGTCTTATCCACGTCGGGGCTCGATGCGTTGCTGGTGCGACTCATGTGCGCAGGCAAGGACAGTTGCGAAAATGACAACCACCCCTCAATCTCCCAACGATACGGCCACAACACGTGGGCCCAGGGCTGCTTGAACGGGTGGCGTCGCTGCCGTGCACGTGGTTGCGGGAAGTTCCCTCGCGGATCGCTTCGCTTTCGATTCAATGCG